GAAACAATTTTCCTCTTTATTTGGCTTCACAGCATCAGCTAATGTTGCTTATGGCCTCCACAAACAACTATGGAGTAGGAATAATGCAATACAGAAAGAGATGTGTTAAAACCTAAAGAATCATGATCCTGAATACTTGGTTCCACCAGTAGGAACTTCGATTTATTTGAATGGTTAAATAGCTCAGCTGATGCTAAACTGTTTGTAAATTTGCTTTGCTAAAGTGAATCTGAGTCCAGCAAATGAATAGCCACATCACAGTGCCGTGGTTGAAATGCTGAACTCAGCAAAGTAATCCAACCCTGAAAGGAGTAGGTTTGGCTTCCTTCTTTTCCCTACCAAGGCGGCAGCCAGAGGTGACTCAGGACTGAGGATAAGCTGGTTTATTCTGCCACAGAAAATTCTGTTACCCACTCAGCAAGTTTCAGGGCACTTTTTGCTAGCACTTAGCTACAGTTAAAAGGTTGTGCAAGTCAAAGATTTGATGTCAAAACGTGAGCATAATGGGCCAGATGCCCCAGATGCCTTTATGTCATCTAAGTTGTTGGTGTTGAAACAGCCCAGAGAGGACACATGCAGGGTTTCCCCTAAGTATCGTTTCCATTCCAAGAGAAGGCAGACAAAAGAGTTTTATTAGCCATGGGAAATATAACCAAAGCTTCTGCAAAGAGCATGTCATGAGGCTTCCTAGGCAGTGAAAGCTACATGGTATTTTACAAAAGGGTACACTTTAATGATTGTTAATTGCAGCGTGCTCTTTTAATACATGGGGAGCCTTCAATATCTGAATATCTACTGAGCATCATGTTGGGGAGAGAGAGGGAGAAGAACACGGGGGCTTTTAGGAGGACATTTGCTCTTTGTGAGCCACATCTTACATCTAGCTGAGCAGAGAGAAAAAAAAAAAGCCAGAGAAAATGTCAACAGTGAGTTCAATTGACCTGGAGACTGAGAACATCAGGAATCTCAAAGTATTTTTACAGCTTCACTTTGCTTTTAGGAACATTAACACTTCAAAGTATATGATTGTACCACTCATCCATGGTTCCAGGGTTTTTCCCTAATTGTGGTCTTTTCCCCCCACACACAACTTTGCATCAATTTAGCACAGAACAAGGCTGATTTGTGCCTCTCCTAAAATATTTAAACAACTCTGTGCATCAACAGTTTTACACACCCCAAAACATCCAATGCTGTTACTACTTGACTTTTTAGCATGAGTATGGCAGTTAGGGGGAGCAAGCTGAAGACTTGCTATCTTCCACCAACTTGCCAATGTGTTGGTATTTGGAAGATAGTAATTATAAACACTTAATCAGGTGATTTCTTAATAACATACCTGCTACCAGAGTGTGTTTCCAAAGTAAATCAGACTCTTTGTTCTGGTTTCAGGAAGGCTTTTGTGGTTATTACCTACCTGCAGCAGAGATGCATGATGTCTCTTTGCCTTATGGGTGGGAATATTTATAATCTTTTATTTTGTGTTTAGAAACATCAAATCAGAAACCCTGAATAGAGCACTAGCTCCAAGCTTTTGCACTCCCTTTTCTGAATTCTTTTTAAGTCACTTAGTAATCAAAATACTTTTCAAATAATTCTCAGATTTTTGCAGTTTTATATGCATGGAGTATGGTACATCTCATTCTCATGGGTCATCATTGGAGACCTTCTTACAGCCTTTCAGTTCTTAAAGGGGGCTTATAAGAAAGATGGAGAGAGACTTTTTACCAGGGCCTGTAGTGACAGGTCAAGGGGTAACGGTTTTAAATAAAAAGAGGGTAGATTCAGATTAGATATAAGGAAAAGATTCTTTACTATGAGTGTGGTGAGACACTGGCACAAGTTGCCCAGAGAAGCTGCGGATGCGGATGTTCAAGGTCAGGTTGAATGGGGCTTTGAGCAACCTCATCCAGTGCAAGATGTCCCTGCCCATGTCAGGGGAGTTGGACTAGACGAACTTTAAAGGTCCCTTCCAACCCAAACTATTCTATGATTCTTTGATCTATGATCTATGTGATGATGGGATCAATGTACACAAGAAGCTTTTTACTTTAGACAAAATCAATTAACCAAAGACAAAAGTTAACATATTAATTCAAGCCTTTTATCTCTCTGTGATAACACAAACAGTATCTATGTTCAGATAATTCTGTTATATTTTCTATGTTGGGACATTGTAAGACACTTTGAAAACATTTAGGAATGAGTGGTGACGTGGAATGGTTGATTCCCTTGCTCAAGGGGATGGATAACATGCAGAAAAGCTGTAGGTAGCCATAGGACAGAACTGGTAGCACTTCCAGGCTACGAGTTCTGTCCTTAGATTGGAGCAAGGTTTTCCCCTCATTAGTCATTTCCTCTCAGGTGTTTTTAAATGCATTTTGCACGACCAGAATAAATGTCCATAGCCTTCCCACTACACCCAAAACAATGCTGACTTCTTCACTTTTATTTTCTTGCTGTAAATAATCATCTACAACCAACAAATTCCTACAAAGGAGAGGAAGGGAAACAATGTCCTTTTGGGGAAACAATGGCCTTTCAATGTGTTCCTAAGAGTTTGTGTGGCACTTAGACTGTGATTTCCAAAGGACAGAGCAATTCAAATGGTTTGGTGAAAAAAAAAACAAACCACTGGCTCAATTCCTGCCTGAACCAGTGGTGCCCAGTATAAGCTCATGCACATCACTGTAATATGAAGACATCTGGTAGATGGAGCTGGGATTAAGCACTTAGGGCCAGCAGAAGCATCTGGACTGCTTGTTGTCTAGGATTGCCTGAGGTTGGAGGTATGAACAGCACAGTTTTCATTCTGCTTTGAACTGCAAACATCCATGCGGTTAAACGTGGGAACTTGCACGTGCTCAGAGCACCTAAGCCCCTGAGCTCTGTAACAGCTCAGCGGCACCTGGGTAACTCTCCGGTCCATGGAGAGGTCCAGCCTGGATGGCATTCTCAGGCAGCGTCCAGTACTGAGCTTAGCATAAAAACCGCTGACTGAGGGGTGCATGAAATGCCTGTTAGGGCTTGTGAACCTGTGAGCATAGAGTAAGTTAAGTGAATTAACACACAATCACATTTAAATGCCCAAAACAAGTGAACTGAGTCAGTCCTTTAATCTGCTGTATTTCTCTGTTTCCTTTTTGTGAAGTAGAAATAACAGATTCCTACCTGATGAGGTTTCATGAGTTAATAGCTTTGAAGTGCCCAGGCACTCCTGATGATGAGGGCCGTATAAACGTAAAGATATTATACAAACATAGCAATGCCAAATGCTTGATGCAAATTCATTGCTCCTATTCTGATTTCCTCTCTTCCCTTGCACAGTTTCTCTGCCAAGTAAATATACTCCTTTCAGATGAAAATACAGGCCACTCTGCCTAAAGTGTCCTGGTTGAATTACCAGTTGTGTTGGTAGCATTCCTTCTTGGTATGTGTACCCATATAAAAATGTTCAAGTTTTGAACTGGTCTGCGGGAGACCTTCCTCACTGTGCTTCCTTGCTTTTTGGGAGTTTCAGGAGAGTATTTTCATTCTTAATGGTTAAGAATTCATTAACAAAACCGGTACCCGCTTAAATGGTAAAAGGAGAGTTTTGCTCTCATTGTGTTTTGTGATGTTGTAGTAGTGCAAAGACAAGCTTATTCACGTTAGTAAATGATAGATGACCTAATTGAGACTGAAGTGGAAAAAATCACTGATTTTGCTAAATTGCCTAAACATGCTGGTTTTGGAGAACTACTCAGATTACTTTTCAGTCCTCTTGAAAAGATTGTTCCTAATGCACAGGTTTAAATAAACTAACCGCTTGTCCCTGACAGTGTTTGCCAAGCTCAGATATATCTTTGTGAATAAAATGAGAACTATAAGCAATGGAAATGCTCTATTTCTTTACTGGTTTTGACTCTTGTTCTTTATGTTAAATGGCTGTGATGCTAGTGCCATTGTACAGTTTCTTGGAGAAATTATAGTGTAAAATATCAAGGCGTTCCCTTAAAAAAGAAATGTCATTCCAAGTATAGCAAATATCGGATCATTTAGCTGTGTAGAGCCTGAAGCTAAAGTGGATACTGATTGAGTATGAAATGTTTATGTTGGGGACAGAAGAACTGATACTGGAATCCACATTCTTTTGCTTTATATTTTCAAGGGGCAAGTATTGGTTGTGTAAGCATATGATTTTCCATACTCCTCATACATGTGTTTGCTTTTTAAGTATTCTGTCTTCTTCCTTAACTTCACTTGTCTTTATGTAATGCCTCAGAATAGATTCATGTGTGTACTGGATGACTTTGCCTGGCCCAGAAACCTACAGAGAGCTATGCCCTGATGTCACACAAATCTAAACAGTGCTGCCTGTTTTCAGATCTTGAGGATGTATCTTTGATCTGAATAGGAGAAGCTGAGTTATACTAAGGAGTGCTCAGAGTCACTCGCATTCCTGGTGCTGAGCACAAAGGCATATGTGCAAGATGGATCTTACACTGCCTTAGTTTTTACTTGGTCTTATTCAGGAAAAAGCTGTCAGAGATGTCTGTAAGAGCTTCTGTGTATAATTGGTGGGTAAACAAAAAAAAAAAGGTGCCTACATAATATGCTATGAATACAGCAAAATAAACCAGAATGCAGTTTCCTGGGATTTATTGGTATGTTGATAAATAATAGTCCTTGTATTTCTGTGTTCATTGCATTGTCACGCCAGCCTTGGGAGCTTTCTGAAACACTGTGCCTGGTTATTCCTTCATGCGGGCCACGAGTGGTTCTACTGGAAGAAGCAGAGTGGATTGGCACAGGTGATCTAAAATGAGTTTCAGTGGGCGGAAAGACCTAGGGAGTTGGTATGGTAGAAGCAGCAGGGGCTGTCTAATTACATTAATCCCATTCTTGTCCTAACGCAATGACCACTAATAAAGCAGTGGAACGAGGGTTTAGAAAGTGCCCCTGTAGTTCTGAAACTCTCCCAAACAGAAAAAGATGACTTTTCTCATTGCTCACCACAGCCATGCACCTGTTTGGCCTAAACTGGCACCTGCAGCCGATGGAAGGGCAGATGTATGAAATCACGGAAGACACAGCCAGCAGTTGGCCAGTGCCAACGGACGTCTCCTTATATCCTTCGGGGGGCACAGGGTTAGAGTTACCTGACAGGAAAGGCAAAGGAACCAGTGAAGGTATGGTTGGTGTGTGTCCATGTTGTGAGTCTTCTGTCTGCCTCTGAACTCCAGCCATCCAATCTCATGTTCCATTACCCTCAATGCTGCCATCATCAGGTGCTTTTTCCAGTCTTTCACATCTAGAACTAGTAGTCGTCGGTCTTGTTTCCATATGTTTCTAAGTTTCATACCCTTCTGATGTCCACTAATGTGATAAAGCTGTGTGCAACCCTCACCACACATCTAAGGCATTCTCAAGGTGGAACCATCTGTACCCTATCTCACAGGCTGCAGAAGGCCATCATGAAAACCCTGCCTCGAGTGGCTGTTTTCATGGGAAAAAATTGTGTCTTGAAAGTTAAATGATTCGTGGAGCATTGGATCAAGTTTTCTCTACAGCAGTACAAAAATGTTTGGGTTTGCCTACTTGTTGCCACCTAGTACCAAATGTTTTGAGGACCAAAATATTGACTAAGAGCTATTACACTGCGAGTTTTGGCATCCAGAGTTGGACATCTCTTTGCAAAAGTAGCCAGATAAAAGGCCCGTTCTCCACAAAGTATCATGTCAACAGCTTGCAATTTTAACTGAAATCAGAAGCAACTGATGGGTCATCAGTTCAGCAGTGCATTATCCAGCAGTTTTACATCTTACTGTGCTTTGTATAAAGGCAGCACTGCCAAAAGTACATGTAAGCTCTGCGAAGGAGAGGTGTTTTATCCCTCACAAGACTTAGTGGAGAAAGGAGAAATTCAAATTTTCAGAAAGCTGTTTTGTTTGTGTGTCAAGCTTCTTTATACGAGGTTAACAGATTCTAGTAAAATTGAAGTCATTGGCTAGTTTTGGTAGTTATTTTCTTGAGAAAGTTTTGTGGGTAAGAGATAAGAAATATGCTACTGTTCTGGCAACTCATTGAACTCAAAAGCTTCCACAGAGTTCCCTCGACTTTGGCTGAGAGCCTATGTTTACGTGGTTGATTTAAATTAATTATAACATTTTTTTCTTTAAGAGCTTATCTGTCCTTATTAGTCCAAATAAAGGCCATAATTATGTGTGTTCCTTAAAACAGTGCATTTACTAGCAACTGATCACTGACATCAACTTGCTACGAGGAAAAATCAGCTAAGCGGGTTATTCTCAGCAAACCTTACTAGACAGCAAGCTGCAGATATCCCTGCTGTTGTATTCAAAAATACTTCATGACAGATCCTTTTTTTTTTTTCCCTCTAACTTGCCATATGTTTTGTTTTTGAAATATCTAGTTTTGATCTGTCCGTTTCCTTTTAAAAGTCAAAATGAAAATAACTGGATGTATCCAAAGCTGCCATCCAAATCAAAGACCTCCACTTGATTTCTTTTTCAGCCATGCTTACAGTGACATCAGTAGAAGTTTTAATTGCTGCCAAAAAGCTCTGCTAAAAGAGAAATCTGGGAAATACCCTAGTTATGTCACTAGAAGACCCCTCAAGTTAGCGCTTCATATAGGTCTTAGGGAATCTGTAGGCGTTAGAGGAGAATATCTTGTCCCGACTAAAAAACATGTCAGGACAACATCTTTCTTGCAGGAGTAGTGGCTGCCCAGCCTTCAAATGCATCTCCCTCCCCATCAGGTGGCTGTGCAACTAAATCTGGACTAGCGGCGTTGCATGGCTGCTATTCCAAACCAGAATGTATGTGATTGAAATTTATTAAAAAATAGATTGAAATATATTTGAAAGTCTTCTTAATCACAATGAAATAGGCTGGAACGTGTTAGAATACCCTTACAGCTGATCTGAATGAATCATTACCGATGTCTTGCCAGTTCTCAGTAATAGTTATTCCTTCTCATACTTGGCTGTGCTCCAGCACAGCATTTACCTGTGTTTAAGCCCATCCCTGTTTAGCAAAGCACTTAATCACATGCTTACATTTAAGCATGTAATTTACTGTGATTGAAGTCAGAGAAATGTAAGTGTGTTCTTAAGTGTTTTGATGAGTCAGGGTACCTTGCTGTCAAAAATACAAGCAGATTCAGCAAGGCCTGAAATGAAATAGTTCATTTTGATATCCAAATAAATTAGGAATAGTTGCTACGGCAACTAAAAAGTTCAAGGTAATGTGTGGAAAGAGCAAAGTAATTGACAGCCCAATTAAGTATTCAGACCTGAAGTTAATTTTAAGGAGTCAGATATTGTGATTAAAACCTAATTGCTGATTAGAAGCTGAAATGTCTTTCTTATTATACTTTCTTTATGAAGTATCCAGTCCGTAGGGCCTGATCCTGCTGTAGGTTAAAAACTGATGAAACACGGATGGATTTCAGGGGCCTGGTGAAGAGAGCCTTTCTTTGGACTTCTGTATGGGGATAAATGTCAACTGCTGGCAGCATGATATAACAGCTCTTAGGATATCAGCTTCTCAGACATACAACTGTCCACGAAGAGGAGACATAAACTTCGTAATTGTGTCTACAAACAATTATTTCTGTGAAATTGTCTTTTGCAATTACAGCAGCATTTTTGCTCGCATGAGCAAGCACTGCTCTCTGTACAGGCAGAATACATACTGTGCTCATATTCTCCAGGCTATCTCTTGCATAGCAACATCTATCATACTAAATTCTAACCTTCCCTGATTCACTCCAAAGTACAATCTTTATTAATGAACCATCAGGGTGCATATCAAATACTTTAGGTTTTCATCTGAATTTTTAAGAATCTATAAAACATGTTAGTAGTAATCAGAAAAATATATCCTTCATTTGAACCAAAACATGTGATGTATTTAGCTCTTTTTTAATAGAATCCTGAATCTTTTCATCTCACAATAATGGAATAAGAAACTTTTCGTGAAGACATGGGAACTGCTTCCTTTAATCCTGACAGTGTGAAAAGTAATTTTTAGTATATCAAACAAATATTAACAACCAGTTGATAAAATAATCCCCTTCAGAACCAAGCTAGTTGATTTTCGTTGTACAATTGTACTCTATCAGCACAAAATGATTCGGAAAGAATGTCCATTTACCTAAGCTGCTTCTGATTATCTCTGTTAATATACACTTTGACTAAAAAAGGATAAAAAGTCAGCAGATTTTTCCCCTGTATTTATTTGAATGTGATGAACAAAGATAAATGAGGATCTTATAAAATTGCCAGTAGCTTTTTTTGTATGAACACATATACACTCTTTGTGTTCTAGACTGCACTGGTATGCATAAAACTTCTGCCACAAGATAGCACGGGGATGAAATATGCCATTAAGTCCCACTCCAACAGTGTACTTAAGAAGTTGCTAACTTTAAATCAGGGATTAGTCTTATTTGGACCAAAAGTGCTGCTAAAAAGTTTTACGTAAGTAAAACAAAAAAAAAAAAAAAAAAAAAAAAAGAGAGAAAAATTCTCCATCCTACAAAGAAGCACCTCCAGAGACTTCTTTTGTTAACAGTTAATAGATGTGGCACTTAGGGACATGGTTTAGTGGTGGACTTGGCAGTGTTATGTTAACGGTTGGACTCGATGATCTTAAAGGTCTTTTCCAACCTAAATGATTCTATGATTCTAATATGCATATAATTTCTATATGGATTTTACAGAGACAGCTAACAATTTACATCTGTTTCTGCTGGAGAGTTTATGTTGGATGGTGTATGGAGAAGTTTAAGGAACTTTTTTAAAATTATACAATATTATTGTATAATATTAAAGGAAATATTATAATTTGAAGCAATAAAATGAAAGATTTTTCTAGCAATCACCTTTTCACCACAGCAAGTAAATTCTAAGACCATTTGACTTGAATTCATGATTGGTGGGAAAAGATACTTTTGTTTCCCATTTCCCAAATGTAGGTTCTGGAAGAAAAAAATCTCACAGTGTGGTTTTCCTACAAAAGATTGTATGTTCCTGAAAGTTTCCTTCTCATTTTCTTAGAATTGCTTGATCTGTGAAACGCAGAGTAGTGTGCTGTAATGGCACAGAGGTGAGATAACAAATTCATTTGAATTTCTAAAATTAATAATTAGTTCTTGTTGGTGACATGATGCTCTCCTCACCAAAGCCAAATCTTTTCTGCATACTTTTCAATTAGAAGTGTCCTTAAATAAAGGCTGTTTGCTAAGCAGTTGCCTCCTTCATCATCTTTATGCACTGCAGGTAAAGCTGTGTCCACTGCTTATAGCAAAGGCTGGAAAGGCCACATTCTGGCATTTTATTTTTCATTCTGCCCCTCATTCCCTGGGCTTCCTTTGGGTCCAAATTTTTCAAAGTGGCCACTGGTTTTGAGAACTGTGAGTGTATGAATTTCTAACCTGGAGTTTCTCAGATGTGTTTTCCAGGGATGCCGAGCTCCCTGCTGACTCCCTTGGACATTATGGCACGTACTGATTGCCAGCCGGACACCCAGGCTCTCCAGCCTGGTGGTCACTTTAAGGAATAGCTGCCTCCATTCGTTTGTCTTCTGAAAGAAGATGGGTAATCATAACACACTTTACAGATTGTATTGAAACCCAGTTAAAGCCTCTCATGTTTCTTAGTAGATACTACTCAAGTGCAGGGTATTATTTTCTTCATTTTTCTCAGTCCTTTTTTTCTATAGCTTTTTTTTTTGGACTGTTGAACAAATTTCAAATACTGTTACAACAGTCAAGAATTAATTTAATAGAGAAACATTTTCCTTTCCCCACTTAGGCATTGTTCATGCTGCTGTTCTCCACACTACCATTCTGTTCTGTGACACGTCTACCTCACTCTTATTACACTTCTCTTTGCTAATTTAATAATGACTTCTCCGTCCATGAACTTATTTTCATTTAGGATATAATGTCAGATGATTTATTCTTATCTTCAGAATGTAATTATATATCTCTGATGTTACAATTTAAACAAAAGACCACTTTTCTCCAGGTTGCTCTTCCCATGTTCATGTTTTCAAACAAAACAGTTACTGAAGCCAGCGATAACCCTGCCAGTTTTCCTCCCATAATCGTATGGATTGGCAAGACAAAGTACTCTGAAGACCTCAGGACACTAATAGACTGTTTCTCAAGATCAGTGTCAGAGATACCAGTATGATTGGATTACTTTTAGGATCTAAGGCTAATCCAACATTTTTGTTCCTGTGTTTTGGCAGGAAAGCCCAGTAGTTTCTTTCCAGACGACAGTTTTATAGACTCTGGAGAAATTGATGTTGGCAGACGAGCCACACAGAAGATCCCTCCTGGTATCTTTTGGAGATCTCAGGTGTTCATCGACCATCCAGTGCATCTGAAATTCAATGTGTCTTTAGGAAAGGCTGCTCTGGTTGGCATCTATGGCAGAAAAGGCCTCCCACCATCACATACACAGGTAATGGGACCTCATTTCAATTAAATAATGGTTGTCTTCAATTGTATGTTCTTATGGCTTGTGGTTTTATTTCAGCTGTTTCTTTCACAAATTTGTTGCATGCTTGCAAGAGGTTAAAGGCCATCTATCCAGAGAAAGATTATCAAGTGGCAATTGCAAAATTTACACACATTAACCTGCTGGGCTGTAGGCACAAGCAAAGCAGGCAGTTGCCTAAGGCAGCAAGCTGCCTGAGAAAGAAAAGGGTTTTGGGGGCTGGCTGTCACTGAGGTTATCAGGTGGTTGACCTCGCGGCATGATATACCACCTTCTCCATCCAGTGACCCTTGCAGCAGCAGC